TCCATACTTGAAGGGCCTTCAGGACACGGGCAAGTCTTACGGCGCAGAGCGCAAGGCCCTCAAGGAAGCGAAAAAGTACGAAGAGATGAACAAGATGACGCCGAGTCACGAGCGCTGCTGGATAGCTTTGATCAGTATGATTGCAAAAGACGAGAGTGTGCCGAAAGAGAAGAAGACGCAGCTCCAGGTGCACTCACAGAAGGTGTCGAGTGTTTCGGGCCAAGTGCTGACATGCATGCAGAAAAAGTGCCATCGCCAGAAAGCTTGGTCGGAGGACCGCTGGAGGATCAACCTGATGGTGGTGCCAGAGCTGAGGGCGGTGCAGATGGAGGCGATGGCAGCTATCGCGGCGAAGCCGCAAGTGGAGGTGAAAGCGGGCGCCCCAGCTCGCAATCCGAATGTGCGCTCGGTGGTCAGCACGCTGGTGGAGATGGGGGAGTATACGGCGGCGAACCAGGAGGGATGAGGCCGCCCGCTCATGAGCCGCCTGCCGCCGCTGCCCATCTTTTCTCCTCCTCCTCCTCCTTCCCCCCCCCTCCCCCCCTGGTATTAGTTCGAACGAGGTTTTAGAGAGGCCCGAGGTCTTTGAGTTTTCCTCTCGGGATGGTTTCAAGGGCACGACTTAAAAGTATTGGCTTTCGGGACCGAGGGTGACTCCGATTCTGATCAGAGTGCCCCGCTGTCCAGCGGTGGCACGGTTGCGCGCCTAGAGGCCATCCAGTGACAGTATTGGGTGCCAGTGCTCCGCTGTGCTCGCTTGAAGTCCTGACTGAGAGTTTTTGCACGTTGGGAGACAGCGGTTTCTTGAAGTTGCAAATTTCGAGGCCGTTTGCACCCCGCGACCATAGGGCCCAGCGCGCGCCACTCTAAGCTTAGTTCACTATTCGGCATGCAGGGGACGCAATGGGGTATAATAGAATAGAATCCTCCTCCTCCTCCTCATCCTCCTCCTCCTCCTCCTCGGGTCGTTCACGGCCTGAGGGAAACCGTGCAGGGCTCTGGTCGTGATCTGCATCGGTATATCATCCTCTCTCGCAGCGTCGGACCTGCGGGGTAGGCCGAGGAGGGGGGGGGCCAGGCACAGGAGCCCAGGGTACGCTGGGGTCAACATGTCTTGGCAGGGCGAATGCAGGCAAGGGGGCTCGCCTGACTGAAGATCCAGGGCCATCCCAGGGGCAGGGGTGCTTGGAAGGGAGTTCCTCCTCCTCGTCCTCCTCCCTCGTTCCCATCCTCCTCCCTCCTCCTCCTCTCTCCTCCTCATTCCATGTACGAGCTAGATGACTCTTACAGGCAGTTCATCTTGAATCCTACCTTTGAAGCCCCTCAACAGGCCCCTCCGCAAGAGTACCCCTTCCTGGATCGGTGGGACATCTACCGAGTTCAAGATTACACGGACATGGCTGCCCAATCTCTCCCGATCAGGATTAGGCGTAAATCGGTTTCCATATTGGATGTATTTTCGGGTATGCGCAGGGAGGGTGACGTTCAATTTCGCATAGAAGATACCTTGGCTTCCGCGAGTTTTGAGTTTGTGGTGCTAAGTGTGGACATCGCAATCCACTCCATTCGTGGCAATCTGGCCCGGGCTGACACAATCCAACAGTGGGTCGACCACATACTCGCTAGGAGAGTGTGGTGCTCTGGGGGGGGCCCTCCATGCGAGACATGGAGTGCAGCTCGTTGGTTGGAGGGGGGGCCCCCCCACTACGGACGACTGAATACATGTGGGGCGTACCATGGGCGACACTTCGGCAGCATCAGCAACTATGTGTCGGGAGCCAGTTATTACATGCTATGCTGCACCTCATGGGAACCCATCTTAGAGCGGGCACGGCAGCATGGATGGAGCATCCCACGCCAGCTGTCTGGAGAAAGGGCGCTCCTACCTCCTTAATGTGGCCGCCAGCGCGCGCCATCGCTTCAGCGCCATGCTCCACCACGGTAGACTTCGACCAATGCTGTTTTAGAGAGGGCGACCCCAGCACGTTTGGGAAGGCACCGACACGGGTACTTGCCATACGCATGCCATCCATCTACGCCGCACTGCAGGGGAAGTGCCCCCACCCTCCGAATTCCCACCAGGTCCTCCAGGGGAAAACCGACGATGGGGTGTTCCGCACAGCGCAGAAAAAGACATATCCTGGCAACGTGTGTCGTGCGCTTGCGAAGGGCATCGTGGATGCTTGCACGCGTATCTTTGACGAGTCACAGCCGTGGGACGACGATGGTGAATCAGAGGAGCTCCGCTACCAGCTCCAACAGTTACACGTTCCATGGGACCCGATCAGGCCTCACGAGGTTGCCCCCGATTACGCCTGCCGTACATCGGCCATGAGATCTGATGAGCCTGAGAGGTGGGTAGTTTTTTCCGGTGGCCTTCCTCCTCCCCCTTCTCCGCCGCCGCCTCCGCCTTCGTCGTCGCCGCCGCCGCCGTCGCCCCCTCCTTCGCTCGGTGGTCCTGCTGTGGTCCCTTGGGATCCCCACGAGGCCGAAGAAGAGGCCGCGGGTGAGCTTTTCGGCCTTTTCCCGACAGTGAGCGGGACTGCGCCCGCAGCGCCCGCGGAGCAGGCCAGGCAGATGGCTGCCGGCGCCGCCCAGAGCGCCGAGGAGGCCCGCCTCCTCTTGTCTGCGGTCCCCCCTCCTCCTCCGCCTCCCTCCCTCTTCGAGGAGCAACTGGCGCGTATTGCTGCCAATCGTGCTATCGCAGGGGAACGGCGTTTACAGCGCATTGCGCAGTGGCGAGGTCAGATTGAATTCAAGTTTTGATTGTCCTGTTTTGTTTCAGAGGTAGCATGAGCACAGCTGTAACGCTTAAGCCAACGTGCACCACCACCTCCTCATCCGTCCGGCGTTGACCCCCATCCTCCTCCCCCATCCCTTCTCCTCATAACAAAAATCTTCCGTATCGCACCCAAAGACGTATCGGTAGGGCGGGCCGGGCGTCTCGCTTCATATTTCCCCCCGTGTATGAAAGCGAAGCTTGAACTTTGCAGCAGCTCCAGGATGGAGGGCGGGGCGTTTGCAAGCTGTAGCTCTCGCCTCAGAGCCGCGCATCTGTTTTCAATGTTGCAGCAACATCAAGGATGGAGGGTGGGTCCTTTTTCAAAAGTGGGGCTCTCGCTCCAGCGCCGCGCACGTTCGTTGTAACAGCTTGCTGTAACCTCAAGGGTGGAGTGAAGTTTCTGTTCGAGCTGTGGCTCTCGCGCGCCGCGCACATTCATTTTGCACAGTTTCCAAAAGTTTCGCGTGTTCTTATATGTCGAGCCACACAAGTGGCACTATGGTGCGATCTTGGATTGCCAGGAGCAGCGTAACGTTGATTCGCGGTGTTCAACTCCCAGGAACGGCATTCGGGTACGATTCAGGACTGTCAAGACGCAACAGTCACGTTCATTCGCAGCCTTGTAGTCCCATGAGCGTTGTTTTGGCACGGTTGGGGAGAACCAGATGCGTGTCTGCCAATAGGGCATTTCCCGTAGTGAACACACATGCTTCGAGGGAAAAGTGAAGAGGGAATTTTGAGGGAGCATTTATTGTAGCATCGTTGATGCGCTTTGTGCTTGTTCACACTTATCCTCGTCCTCCGCCTCCTCCTTCCCTGTCGTTATGTGTGCCGTCATCCTCTCCATCTTCTCCATCATCGTCCTCCTTCTCCTCCTCTTGCATGTCTTTATTTTCTTGGGCATTCAACTACTCTCTTTTCACCATCGTCCTCCTCATCCGTTAGTCTCATCCTCATCGTTCTCGTGTTGTATCTTTCTCCTGCTCTCCCGCGACCCTGCCCGTCTCCCTTCTGACCTCCTCCTCCTGTTGCTGCTCCTCCTCTTCCTGCCCCTCCTCCTCTCCCTCTGCTGTCCTCCCCCTCCCGGGGCTCCCCGCCTGCGCCCTGTCGCCTGCAGCGAGCAAGCGAAGCCTCGACGATCATCGTCGAATAGGAGGTTTTTTTTCTTTAGATCCAGACAAGCTTACTTGCATGGCGTTCGACCCCCCCCCCTCTCCCCCCTCGCCCCTCTTCAATCGAACACGAGCGTGCAAGTGCCTTTCGACTTGCGTGATTTCCGCACGTCGAATTGTTTTCGGCATGCTTCAGACTCAGCACCCCCCCCCGTCCATGCGAGTAAACTTGCCCGAATCCAAAGAAAAACAGACACTATAACGTAATTCCACCCTGAGACCTGAGCGATCACGGTATTGTTGAGGTAGTTGTTTCCAATGTGCGTCACTCGTTTTCGCTAGCCTCATGGTCTAAGTTAATGGTTGTTCTTCGGCCCATCCCACCACCCCGCCACCGCACCTGTGCTGTATGTCAGAGGCCCTCTGGACGCTTTCGAAGATCTCCTGGGAGGCCCTGAGGGCCCGGTGGAGGTATTTCTGGCGGTGTCTCTGGGCCTGTATGGGGGCCTCCCGGAGCTTCTGGGGGGCTTTCGGAGGCCTGCTGCCCGGTCTCGGGGGTGCTCTTGAGATGGAGGGCGCGGCCCTCTTGGGACCCTCGAGGGGCTGGCTCGGGGGCCCCTGGGCTGCCTCGGGGGGCCATTTTGGGTCGTCTGGGGGCCCTCTCGGCCCGCTTTGGGGCGCCCTTGGCTTCAGAAAGTCGAGCGGGAACGCGCGGACAATCCCGGAAGCGCCCGGGAGCGCCCAAGACCTCAGGGAATTCGAGGTTTTGGGCCTCTTCAAGAGCACGACAGTACTCAGCACAGAGAAGTTTGCGGGACCTGCCTCGAGGCACGGTGGCGGATCGCATTCATCGTGTCGTTGCCGCGCCATCTTATTCGGGTTGGTTCCCATCTCCGCTGTCTTGTGGGGCGAGGTTCGCCCTCTCCGTTCCAAAGGTCCCCCTCTCGTCCTCCTTCCCCCTTCACCTCCTGGAGCTTAGCTTCCTCATTATGTTCCTCCTCCTCTCCTTCCTACGCCTCCTCCCCTTTCTCCTTCTCTCCACCCGTTTTTGCCCCTGCTGCCGCTGCTGCTTATCATGTCCCCACCCCTCATCGCGTGCCGCCGAGGAGCAGTGCCAGCGGGTGGTGAAGGCCGCGCAGGCAGCCGAGGAGGAGGAGGAGGAGGAGGAGGAGGAGGAGGAGGAGGAGGAGGAGGAGGAGGAGGGAGGAGGGAGGAGGGAGGAGGGAGGAGGGAGGAGGGAGGAGGGGGAGGGAGGAGGGGGAGGAGGAGGAGGGAGGAGGAGGGAGGAGGAGGAGGTGCCCCCCCCCCGCTGGCGAGCACGGGGCAGGATGTTGTCAGAGGCAGAGGGCGGCAGGCGGCCGGGCGCTCGCATCCGGGGGCGGGGGGGAGGAGGACGACTGTGCGCCTCTTTTTGGGGGGCAGGGCGAGGAGGGCGAAGGGAGGCGAGAGAGAGAGGGAGGGAACGGAGAGGTGGGGGAGACATGGGAGTGGGGGGTCTCTGGAGGCGAGAGAGGGAGGAAAGGAGGGGCGGGGAGAATGGGAATGGGGAGGTCTCTGGAGGCGAGAGAGAGAGAGAGAGAGAGAGAGAGAGAAAAAAAGAGAGAGAGAGATAGAGAAAAAGAGAGAGAGAGGGAGGAACGGAGGCATGAGGAAAATGGGGATGGTGGGTCTCTGAAGCCTCTGCTTGGTCACGCAGTGGCATCAGGGAGTGAAGCACCCAGTGCGTTTTTGAACTCTGGAGTTGCTCAGCCTGGCCAACGGGCCGGAGTCCCAGGCCGACCCTCCTTGCGCAACCCTCGCGGTCTGTGGCATCCCGGGGAGCAGACCAGGGCTTGCCGAGCTTCCGGGTGGGTCGCGAAGCATGATCAGACACGCGCCGGTGAGGAAGGGGACGTCGGGAGGCGGGGAGACGGGGGGGGGGGGCAGGTGTCCGACACGATCCAGGTTCCTTCCTCGGAGGCCCCGGCGTCTGGCGCGCTCTGGCACACAGCGCCATGGTCTGTGCCATAGTCTGCGCCACGGGTTCCGCCATCCATGGGCCGCGACATCGAGTGTTCCATGGGAGGCACGGGGGAGCGGACTGGAACGGAGGAGTGGGGCGAGGAGGAGTAGCGGGCCTTTCAAGACTGATAGCTTCATACTTAATTCCATCCCGAATTCTCAGATGGTGATCGCTGAAGTAACTGACAAACGGCAACCTCAGTAATTAAGTACGTAGCCTACGTGTAGCCCTAGGTAGCCGAGGTAAGGAGCCAAGTTGCTTGAGCTTCTTATACTTACAGTGCTAGTAGAACAAGTGACTCCGACCTCTCAGTGGAACGGGGTCGGATCCGGGCAAGGAGTTGTAAGGTTGGGAATCCCAGACAAACAAAAAACAGTTGCCAGGAACTTAGGATGTCGGCGGGGAGTCTGGAACGTGGTCGGATCTTGGCGAGAAGTTGTGGGGTGGGGTGTCCCAAGGATTGAGGATGTCGGCGGGGGGTCTTGAACGGGGCCAGATCCAGGCGAAGAGTTGTAGGATGGGGGTCCCAAGAACACAGCTCCCAGGGAGTCAGCGTCTCGGCTGTGGAATGTGGAACGGATGGGATCCGGGCGACGACTTGTATGGCGGAGGATCACAACATCACAGCTCCCAGGGACTCAGGATGTCGGTGGGGGTGTCTAGAATGTGGTCGGGTCAGGGGAAAAATTGTAGTTTGGGGGGTCCCAAGAGCACAAGTCCCAGGGACTCGGGATGCCAGCGAGGGAGGTTTGGAACGGAGTCGGATCCGAGCAATCTATATATATATATATACTCCCAAACGATCAGATAGCGCGCAACAGCAGCCAGAACACATGGCACCGCATGACCCCCAGACCCCCGAACCTGTGCATATCAGATAGAGCGCGTGTCCTCACCCGAGGACAGTCCAGAGGGACAGCACAGAGAGGAAACTTCAGATGGCACGCGCTCAAGAGGAGGCAAGGCGGGGGGAAGGCAAGGCGCCGCCGCTCGAGACATCCTCGCAACCGCGGCGCCGCCGCTCGAGACATCCTCACAATCGCGGCGCCGCCGCTCGAGACATCCTTGCAGCCGCGGCCCCGCCGCTCGGTGCATCCTCGCAACCGCGGCGCCGCCGCTCGAAACATCTTCGCAATCGCGGAGCCGCCGCTCGGGACATCCTCGCAACCGCGGCGCCGCCGCTCGGGGCATCCTCGCAACCGCGGCGCCGCCGCTCGGGACATCCTCACAACCGGCGTGGATGAAGGCGATGAGGAGGAGGAGGAGGAGGAGGGGGAGAGAGAGGAGAAAGAGGAGGAGGAAGAGGAGGAGGAGGTGGAGGAGGAGGAGGAGGAGGAGGAGGAGCGGGCCAGACAGATAGCACACGCCTGGGCCCTCCTGGGCCCCCTTGGGCCCAGGAGAGGCGCCCACAACCGCGGCGCCGCCATTCGACACATCCTCGCAACCGCGGCGCCGCCGCTCGAGACATCCCCACGACCACGGCGCCGCGGCCTCCCCAGGGGCGCGCACCAGGCAGATAGCACACTGCCCTGGGGGGGGGGAGGCGGGGGGGCGGGATGGCGCCGCCGCTCGGGGCATCCTCGCAACCGCGGCGCCGCCGCTCGAGACATCCTCACGACCGCGGCGCCGCCGCTCGAGACATCCTCGCAACTGCGGCGCCGCCGCTCGAGACATCCTCACAACCGCGGCGCCGCCGCTCGAAGTATCCTCGTCCTCCTCATGCTGCCCTCGTGCTCCTCGTGAACATCACCCTCCTCCTCCTCCTCCACCTCCTCCTCCTAAGAAGCCCTCCCCTACCCACGGGCGCACCAGGCAGATAGCACACTGCCCCGGGGGTGGCCAGGGGGGGCAGCGAGGCCAGGGGGCGTGGCCAGATGAGGTAGGGGAGAGCGGGGTGGGCAGGCTCCCCTTTCCCACGGGCGCGCCAGGCAGATAGCACACGCCCCGAGGGGGGGCACACATTCTAAGACAAGTTGGAAGCGGGCCAGACAGACAGCACTGCGAACATGGCGTTTCGCCCAAACACGCGGGCCAGGCAGATAGCACACGCTGCACGGCTCTTTCGCAAACGCCATGTGACCGTTAGGGAGTATAAAGTGAAACAACCCAGCAACACAACTCCCAGGGACTCAGGATGTCGGCGGGGGTGTCTGGACCGGGGCCGGATCTGGGCGAGGAATTGCAGTTTGGGGGGGTCCCAAAAACACAGCTACCAGGGACTCAGGATGTCGGCGGGGGGATCTGGAACGGGGTCGCATCCGGGCGAGGAGTTGTAGGGTCGGGCGTGCGACACACGGGTCCTGGGGTCTGATGACGTCGGCAGGGGTGTTTGGAACTCGGGCCGGGCGAAAGGGGGGGATTGGGAAAGGGGGGGTAACGAAATTTGCTGCATGCAGCTGGTTTCGGCCCCACCGAGGAGCCCATTTCTCGATACATGGCCGCCTCCGGCGCCGGGAGGCGCCGGGAAAATCAGCTACGCGAGCTGATTCTCAAACCCCCCCTTTGATATCCCCCCCTTTTCGCCCGACCCGAGGAACTGAGTCGAATCAGGGCGAGGAATTGCAGTGTGGGGGTCCCGGCATCACAGCTCCCAGAGACTCAGGACGTCACTAGGGGGGTCTGGAACGGGGTCGGATCCGGACGAGGAGATGTAGGGTGGGGGATCCGGGGGAGAGTCTGTGGGATGCGGGGCTCGAAGGGCAGGTGTCCAGATTGTGGAGGTGCGGGGGCCAGGTGGATGCCAGGCAGCGGCTCGCGAAAGGGGATATCGCACACGCCTCATGGGGTCGGCGGATTTCGGGGCTCCGCGCTGGTGCCTACCTGGCGCCGCCCCAGCGCGCCAGGGCGAGGAGTCCAGCGCCGGTGCACGAGATCCGCGCGGAACTCCCAAAGGTCATGGCAGCGCAGTGTCAGGCTCCTCTCCCACCATCAGCGCATGTCTGGGCGCGGGGAGGGGGCAGCGGCCGGTGGGCACGGAGGCGCCTCCCGTGATGATTCCAGCTATGGCGTCTGAGAGATCACGGGAAGCGTGGCAGCGCCGCCGAGGGCGGGGGGCAGGGCCCCCCCCGCGGGGCCCCTCCGCTCTCGGCGTCCGAGTTTCGGGGGGCGCCTCCACGGCGCGAAGACCTTGGCTGCAATCCCGTGGCAGAGTGTCCAGATACACAGGTTTCCAGCAAGCAGTGCTGCAGCGGCATTGCATGAGGAACGTCTTCCTGGGGCCCAGACCCTGGCGCATTCCTTATTGTTTCAAGGCGAGGTGGGTGGCCGACGTTAGGCCGCGCATCGATCGCGAGACCCTGGGTTCCTCATCGAAGGTATCCGGATTTTCAAAACCTCCACCGTACTGGGAAGCCCCTCCGTGCGCACCTTCTGGGGCAGCAAGAGGCACGGCAGCACGCGCCCGCCAGGAGGCCATCGTGAGCGAGTGCGGCCTGAGCAGGGACGAGGCTGGCGGCACGGGCAGCACGCGCCCGCATCGTTTGCTTCGTCGCCGTCCGAATGCGTCTTGCAGGGTCTGCTGCTCGCTCTGCCGTGGGCGCCCCGACTCGGCGGCGACATCCGAAGGTGACCCTCGCGGAGGAGCGACTCAGGCAACCCAATGGGCGGCAGGGGTAGGGTTCGGAATTCGTCCAACAGTCGCAGACCTAGAGGTTGACACCAACACCAATATCGGCGGTGTGCTGCCACCGAGGGAAGAAGATCCCGGTCTCGGCGATGGTGGTAATACTCTGGCTTCCAAGGTGGCCGACATGTGACCACCGGTACCGGAAAGTTGGGATCATCTTCCCCTGTGGAGGCACCCCCCCGTCTTGGTGCCCGTGCCCATCTCCAGGCCTCCAAAACAGGTGGCAGAATCCGAACCCCGCCTCCCAGTGCCTTTTTTTCTGGGGGGGGGCTGACTCTGAAGCAAGCCGAAAACAATTCGACGTGCGGAAGTCGCGCAAGTCGAAAGGCACTTGCACGCTCGTGTTCGATTGAAGAGGGGCGAGGGGGGAGAGGGGGGGGGGGGGGGCGAACGCCATGCAAGGAAACTTGCCTGGATCTAAAGAAAAACAGGCTCCGCCATCGAGTCGAGGGACCGGGTGGTTGGTGTGCGTGGGGTTCGGACGTCGTCACCTGCAGTGGTTTCACCGGGCGGTTGCCGCAGCCCGCCTGCGGGCCCCCGGGGCCGCGGGCGTCGAGCCGGCGATCGGGCTCTGGAGGAGTCCGTCTTCGGCTTCGGCCTGGGGTGGCCGTGTGCGGGGCCTCGGGCCATCAGTCTAGGCCTCCTAGATGGGGTCGAAGTAGATGGGGTCGGAGGATCGCGCCGCATCGCCGATGCATCGCCGATGCGGCTCGATGCGGAGCCCGATTTTCTCTACGCCGACGTCGCCAATGCATCGCCGATGCATCGGCGATGTCTCGGCGATGCGGCGCGATCCTCCGACCTCATTCCGACCTCATCTAGGAGGCCTCTAATCAGGAGTGGATCCGGAAAGGAAGCACCCACAGAGGAGCGGTGGGGACCTCTGTGGCCGCGGTTGGGTCGAGGCGCACCGAGGGGTGCCGGGGGCAGCGGGAGGGCCGAGAAGCAGGGGCGCTGCAATTGTGCACACCAGGTGTTCTTGCCCGGCTTCGTGCCCCGGAAACGTTACAGATCGACCCCGCTGGAAAAGGCAGCAGCAAGATCAGGTCTAGGGATTTGGCCGCGATTGTTGGCGATGCCGCGGTTCTTTTTTGTCTGCGATTGTTGGCGATTGTTGGTCTAGGGATTTGTCCGCGATTGTTGGCGATGCCGCGGTTCTTTTTTGTCCGCGATTGTTGGCGATTGTTGGTCTAGGGATTTGGCCGCGATTGTTGGCTTCGACCCTGCTCGAAAATGCAGCAGCAAGAGCAGGTCCAGGGATCTGGCCGCGATTTTGTTGGCGGTGCCGCGGCTCTTGTTGCCAGGTCGGCTCTCGGTCACCCAGGAGGAGGAGGAGGAGGAGGAGGAGGAGGAGGAGGAGGAGGAGGAGGAGGAGGGAGGAGGAGGGAGGAGGAGGAGAGGAGGAGGAGGAGGAGGAGGAGGGGAGGAGGAGGGAGGAGGAGGGAGGAGGAGGAGGAGGAGGGAGGAGGAGGGGAGAGGAGGAGGTAGGAGGAGGGAGGAGGAGGGAGGAGGAGGGAGGAGGTGGAGGAGGAGTTTGGAGAGGGGGTGCACTTGGGATCTGCGCTGTTCACTAGCGGAGCCTCGCCGTCAGCCTGCAAGCCGTCGGCGCTCATTTGCTCCGACTGTGTCCGCCAAGCCCCTCGTCCATAGCCTAGACCCCGAGCTCGTAGCGGCCGATAGCCCCTGCCGAGCCTCGCCTGGCGCTGTGCCCTCAACCTGCGGCCTCTCTTGCTCGCCCCCGCCGCGGGTTCTTCTTGTCATGGGCCCCTGCACTGCTCAGTTTCTGCGGCACGGCCTTTCGGTTCAGCGCCTTACCTCGGAAGATCCTCCACCGATTGCTGATCAAGGCTTGCAGGCCAGGGCTGTTTTGGCTGCGAGCACGGATTGCAGGCGTATCCATCGATGAGATAACGTTGTGCCGTCCCAGTCCGCGTATCGGTGAAGTCTCGATTGCGTTCTCCCTTCGCATGCTCACAGACAGAGTCTGCTCATGTATTTTGCGTAATCGAGCGTTCGCATCTGGGTCTATAGTAAAGCATGACTTCCCCTCTTGAAACATCAAGCGTTCTGCTTACACAGGTATATCTGGTTACATTTGTACATATATATACATATATATATATGTGTATGCGTGTGTGGGCGCGTCGACTCCCACACGCTTGATTTGAAGTGCGCACCGCTCACCAAGACAACATTGAACTACACCGACGCGAATATTCAGTTCCACCAGCATCCCCTCAAGCCAAGACAGCAACGATGCCCAGGCGAGTTGCGTTGATCATGGAAGAGTGGGAGCACGCAGCGCAAGGTTGGGATCGGCCTGAGCAGGCTCAGAAATCAATGATTGACGTTGCGTATCCCCACCAGCCCATCCAGAAACGATGCCCAGGCGAGTTGCCTTGGTCAGGACAGTGTAGCAGCATGCAGTGGAACAAGTTTTGGATGAGCCGGATCAGACCCAGGACGGACGAGGACGAGGACGAGGATGAGTACGAGGAGGAAGAGAATGGCGAAGAGGACGAGGACGAAGAGGAGGAGGAGGAGGAGGAGGAGGAGGAAAAGGAAGTCCTTGGCAGCCGTCTTCGGGTCATTCGGAGGCTCTCTTGGGGTCCTCTAGGAACTCTCTCGCGGCTCTCTTGGGCTGTTTTGGAGGGTCTTGGTGTCATCTGGAGGATCCTTTTTTGGAGGCACTGGGGCTCTCTTAGAGTCCTCTTGGTGGCCTCTTTGGGTCCTTGGCTCGCCTCTTGGGGCCATCTTGCAGCGCGTCGATGAAAAAAGGGGGGGATCCTAAATTTGCCCCCTCCCCCCCTCCCCGCCTTTCCGCGGTCATGGACATCACCTCTTGGGGCCCTCTTGTCGCCCTCTTTGGGCACTCTTGAGTAGCATTCGGGCAGTTTTGATCGTGTTGGGCGCTCCTGTGCCATCTTGTGGCTCCCTTTGTGGCTTGATGGCTTGTGGATCTCTCGGGCAATCTGAGTCTGTCAGCCTTTCGGGGCTCTCCCCTCGGCCATCTGACTTTGGAGAGTTGATCGATGAAGTTCGCCTCCCAGTGCCTTGGTGGAGGGTTCCGTGTGCGTCTCTTGCTGGTCTCATGGAGCGTTTTCGGCCCTCTCGAAGGTGCCTAAAGGGTTTCCTGGATTTGTTGTTTGGCAGTTTATTGATGTTTTGGGGTGCGTATTGGGACCGTCTCGAAGAAGTTGTGGACAGCGTCCGATAGCATGGCATGCGCGCGTCGAGTAGGGAAGGCGCCCCTGGAACATGACAGAAACCTCACCAGGCAGTTCACAGACATTCTAAGGCGTCCCATCGTACCGAGGGTACGGTTACGAATCGGAACCGCAGGGAGACAACGACGGTTAATGTGATATCAATTTGATAGCGTACGTATGATGCCCGCGACGTTTGGACATCCTTGCAGTTGCCACGTCTTTGTATTTGCCAACCATATGCGTGCGCCCTGTTTCCAACAGTTTTCCACAGCTTGTGCGAGACACCCTCGCGCCCTCATAGCAAACATGAACAGGCCAACATTGATGTTGATCATTGCGCCTCGCAGGCTCGAGAACAAAAGGATACCGCATCTAATACTTGGAGCTTTCGCTCGCTGCCGCCCGTTTTGGACATTCGAATGATAGTGCGGAGCCTTGGTACTACGAGCACCACTGACACAGGCTTCCGACTGACTAGCAGGGCTGCACCTGGTTCGGTGTGACTACGGACACCAAGAAGAGCTGGAAACGTTTCGTGGCAAAGGCATCATCGTGCAAAATAGGTTGCGGGGTTTCTGGCACGGAGTCGGCCAGTACCAGCAAGTAGTGAAAAAAACGAGGTCGGGCAGGTGATGACTCCCGGGGGGATACTGCGTCGAATCGAGCAGCTGGACATCAACAGCGCAGAGCTGAGACGCGAGGCGCGAGAAGCCAAGGAACGAGCATATCGACTGCGAGCGGAAGCGGCTCGCGCCGCTGAAGAAGTTGCCGGTCTGGGCGCTGCGGCAGGAGCCGCGGCAGCAGCGGCGGCGGCGACGGCCGACGTCGAGAAGGACAATCCTTTCGAGACGAATATAAATATTAACGGCAAGCAAGAATCGTGGTCCGACTGGTGTTTCCTGTTCAAAAGCTCCGTGGCCTCCCAGGATGAGTGGATTATCGAGCTGATGGACAGGTCGGCCACGTCGGACGAGGAGATAGTCATGGGCATATCGTTTGCCGACGAGAAGGTCGGAGACGACAAGAGACCACGGACACGGTTTCATTTTTTGACCCCTGGCATGACAGCGAAGTCTCGAGGGTTCAAGTTGGTAAAGAATATCAAGTCGTCGAATGGCTTCGAGACGTGGAGGCAAGTCATCGTAGAGTACGAGCCGGGAGCTCGCGGACGCCAGGGCGCGCTGCTGAACCAGCTTTTGAGTACGACGTTCAAGGCAGGAGCAGGCCACCGAGAAGCTATCGAGACGTGGGGGCGAGAAGTTGCAGAGTACGAGGAGCAAGCGGAGGACGTCTTGCCATAAACATCAAGGCGAACGCGCTGGTCCAGGGACAGGAAGACTAAGTTCTGGAGTCTCTTTTGACGCTGACTTCCAACAGGCTAGTTCGATACCGCCACATCCGCAAGGAGGTCATGGATTACATGGTGAATCAGCGGGTGTGGCACAGAGACGATGACCAGGTCAAGCCGATGGACGTCGACGCTGTTCACCCTTGGTACATAGGAAGCAATTCACGAGATGGCAAGGGGCAAGACGGCAAAGGCAAAGACGCAGATGACAAAGGCAAGTCCAGAGGCGGCAAAGCAAGAATGATAAAGGGAAGACCAAGAGCGACAAGGGCGAGCGGTGCGACTGGCGCAAGATCGCAGGCCACGCGACGGAGCCTCGCAGGAAGAGGAGCAAATGCGACCAGCAGATAGCGCAGCAGCACAGCAAGACGAACGCTTTTATTCCTCAGCAGCAGCAGCAGCGCCCTCGCATTGCCGCGGCGATAGGTCCAAGTGCACGGGGCACAGCGCACGCTTTCGGCCCGAACGACTCTGCCTCGATGGTGAACGCCATTCCCGTCTCGATGCTGGCCCAGCACCGCCCGGGCGCGGCGAGGCGCCTGGCGCAGTCCATAGGTGGGGCGGCTCCGACTTCAGCACCCCCGACTTCGACGGCAGCGATGCAGCCGGAGCAGCGCAAGACAAGGAGCGTCACTGTTGGAGATGATCGAGCCACCCCTGGCCAGACACGGACGAGGAGGACATCGTCTACAGCAGTGTGCCGGCATCGGCCAGCGACGGCCCCCACGAGAACAACGACTACGATAGCTCGATGAGCGACAGCGGGGCCGGCATCGCTACGCGCCCGCCGTCCCATTTGTAGAAAGGTCCAGCGGGCTCAGGGCGGCGGACCGAGCCCAGGAAGCCACCGTCGTTGGAGGCGGCCACTGGCCGGTGGATCACGCGCGACGGCCCCCGCGAAATTAGCTTCATCGTGAGGGCGACGAACCAGCAGCGCGAGATTATGAAGTCCAGGTCCCAGGTGGCGAAAGCGAAGTGCCCGATCGTCGCGCAGCGGGACTTGCTGGGGGCGGGCTTCGTGCCGAGGTGCGGCGTCTACGCGAGCATGCTGGAGGCGCCCAGCGGGTGGCTCTTTCCGCTGACCTTGCAGGGCCGCATCTGGTACTTGCAGGTGAAGCGCGTGGTCTGCGCTAGCGAGCTCGCGATCGCGGCCGCGCCGCCCGGGCAGCCAACTGCGGCTCGCCCGTTGCCCGTCTATCGAGAAGGGCGCGATCCCGAAGAGGCTGGAGGCGCATGTCAGAAGTCAGCTGGAGGAGCAGCGGCGAGTTCATCAGCATCGGCAGCGGCGGCGGCAAGGCCGGCACAAGAGGGGCTGGTCAGCGACAGCCAGGGGATCGTCGTGAAGCGCAGGGATGCGACCGAGTTGTGCGACAGTTTTGCAGTCCGAGCTTCGCAGGCTCGAGGCGCGCCAGTCATGCTGCCGTTGGCCGAGAGACAGCCACGCAGTTCCATTCATTGGCCTTGCAGGTCGCGGTGCAAGTCGTGCGCGGTAGGAGGAGGCCGCGAGGAGGTGCGCCGCGGGGCAGATCAGGGGCGCGACGCGCCGCGGGTCTGGATTGACAATCCGTTTCCAGAAATTCGTGGCGCTGACGACGCGATGACCATTTGCGCGCGCTTGGACTTCGAGCCAACTACGATTGAGAGCGCCGGCGCGATGCGATGGAGAGGGGCGCGGTTGACTACGCCATCAAGGTTCCAGTGCAGGCCCTCCGGTTCTGGGGCCGCATGCGCGTGGTGATGTCGTGCGACCAGGAGAATGCGATCGCGGCGCTGGGCAGGGCCGTCGCCGCGGTGCGCGGCGAGGAGACCGTCGCGCAGGTCGGCCCGAGGCACGACTCCAAGTCGCAGGGGCCGATCGAGACAGCAGGCGGCAGGGTGCAGCAGCGCATCCGCACCTTGGTGCGCGCCGTCGACGCTCACTACGAGGTCGAGGTGAAGTCCGGCGACCCCATCTGCACATGGCTGGCGAGACGCGCCAGCTGGGTTCTCACGAGGTCTTCCGTGAAAGAAGACGGCTCGACGCTGTGTCGACGTACCAAGGGAAGAGACTACCACGGCCAGATCGCTGAGTTAGCTGCGACCGGGATGCGCAAGTTGCCTGCTAGAGCGGCGGGCATGATGGTGGCCAGGTGGGGCAAGGGCATTTAGCTAGGCAAGGCTTACGTCAGCGACGAGCGCAATGATCGGCGCGCCCGGGGCAGGGTCTGCTCGCGCTCCATGGCGAGGAGGCCCGACGAGAAGAGGTGGAACAAGCGCCTCTTCGGCCAGATCGCGCGCCCCATTCGACCCGGACGCGACCCTCCGGGCGGCGGAGACGTCCTGCGGCCGATGTACCTGACCAAGGCGATGGTCGCTCGACTGGGCAGGGCGCCTGGCTGCCCTGCTTGCGACGAGACAGCAAAGGCAGTAACCGTGAAGAGGGGCCAGGCCGAGTCCGCGCAGCCGGCGGCCAGCGACGGCCATGCCCCCCCTGCGCCAGCACCTGCCGCAGCATCAGCCGCGGCACCAGCGCAGCCAGCTCGCGACGACGGAGCAGACGTCGAGATCGCTGCGAGGCCGAAGAGACAAGTCTCAGGGAAGGAAGAAGCCCCTGAAAGCAAGAGGGCACGCACTATCGGAGGTTTGCCCGCGTGCGTCGCACCGCTCATGACCTGCGCAGTGGACTCGGGCGAGTGCGCAGCCGAGCCCGTCAACGACAACTCGGGAGCGCGCGAAGATGCAGGAGCACAACGTGTTCAAGAGGGTCTTCGCCCACGAAGCCAAAGGAACGCGCGCGCGAGGCAAGTGGCCCCGGGGCTGGAAGATAGGGGCCAGCGCCGTGAGGTGCGGGTTCGTGGCCATGCAGGTCGCGCGCCAGGTGCGCGATGGCACGTTTGCAGGCGCGCCGCACCTGAAGTTCGCGAGGCTCGCGTTGGCGATGGCTGCCAGGCTCGAGCACGGCCGGGAGGTCTGCCTGATTGGCCTTTGGGACATCAGCAACGCTATCTCCCACGCCACGATGGATGAGAACGTCTACGCGGCGCCGCCCGTCGGCGAAGATGACCCGAATGTGGCATGGCAGCTGCTGAAGGCGATGTGCGGCGCGAGGCGCGCGATCAAGCTGTTCCAGCACATGGTCATGTGGGTGTTGATTGCCAAGGGGGTCATCTGGCTGCAGGTGGCGGTCATGGTGTTCTTCCACCTCGAGAAGGGCATCTACGTGGCGGTGCACGGCGACGACTTCATGGCGGTGGCTACCCACGACAACCTGCAGTGGCTCAGCGAGGTCCTGGAAGAGAAGTTCGAGGTGAAAAGGTCTCCCGTCATCGGGCACTCGCGGGCCGGACGTGAGGCTACGTCGGGTAAGTCCTTGAAGCGGACGGTGGGTTGGGCGAAGAAAGGTTTCCATTGGGAGAGTGACGCCAAGCGCGCCGTGACTGTGGCGGGAGCGTATCGGAAGCTGGCGGCGACGAGAAGGATCTCGCCAGCATCAAGGAACAGCGGGAAGGACGTGCCGACCGCGCTGGACACCCTTAGCTACGACGCGAAAGAGGTGTTCCAGTCTGTAGCGCCTGCGGCACTCGAATTGGCCGCAGATCGTGACTGACTCCGACTGGGCTTGAGATGAAGTGACGAGGCGAAGCCTTGGGCGCGGTTTGGAGTGCGTGGGGAGGGCGTGCATCGACAGTTGGGCTGGACAGCAGGCGTCGAGAGAGCTGAGCGGCGGTGAAGCCGAGTACGTGGAGATGGCAGACGGAGCGGCACGAGGTATCTTCACGAAGAAACTGATCAAGGATATGCAGATCGAGATGATGGTGGCGGTGGCTGGCGGTAGCACGGCGGCGATCAGGATTTGCTCGAGGCTCGGCGTCGGTCGCATCAGGCACCCAGACGCGAGGCGCCTGTGGCTGCGGGAGAAGGTGGCGAGCGAGGAGGTGCGGACTAATAATGTCCCGACGAACGAGAACGTGGCGGATCTTACGACAAAGGCGCTGGATCTGACGCGATGCCGCGGGTTGGCGAGGAGGTTGTCTGTTACCCTGCAGCCCGCGAGATGAAGGCGACGCAGTGCGTCGTCGCTTCAGTGGTGCAGAATGCAGATGGTGTGCACGTGCTTGGCCTGGAGTCAAGCGATTATTTTACCGCGCGCAGTGCGAGGCCGAGCGATGCGCCGCGCAGCGTGGAGCCTCGATGAATCACCAAAAACACCCGCCAGGCAGAGCCAGCTCGACGGGACGCTCGAGAGGGTGCAGTACTAAGCGCGAGGGATGCAGACGAGCGCAGCAGAGCCTGCCGCTCTCGAGGAGGAGCGCGAGACATCTTCGCGCTCTCATAGCAAGCATGCGCAGCATACCATATGTGTTGATCATAGCCCTCGCAGGCTCGATAGCACAAGTATGCCGCATCTAATCCGTGGAACCTTCGCTCGCTGCCGCCCGCACCGGGCACTCTAAGTTTGAGAGTTGATTCCGCTGAGTGAGCTGGTGACAACTAGCGGGGCCAACGCACCCCACACTCGTTTGCAGCGCCGATTAAGCAACATCGGCACGCGCGCGCCGTTGCGCGCGCATGCTGGCATGGTCATTTTTTCTGATTGGGGGGGATCGCGCGGATGTTTAAATCGAGCTCCCCAGCAACATGTACAAACATCGGACAATGTTGTTTGTCCTTGTGGGCTCGTATGAACAACGGTGTTCTTATTGTTGCTTCTCGCGCGCGCATGGCGCAACCACTTAAACGCCGTTGCGCGCGTGCTGGGGTGTCACGACCTTTTTTTGTCCAGCAGCGCCATGCGAGCCACTCGCGCCCCCCGGCCGCGCGCACATGCCAAAATCCTTCCCACACGTCCATGACCGACACGTGGATAGCATCATCGTCATCGGAGTGATTGGCATCGGCGCCATCATTGGCCTCGCCGTCGTCATCGGCGTCCTCGCCCCTGTATCGTTATTATCGGCACTACGTAGTTTGTCATCGACGTCGCCAAATTACCGCAGGCGCCCGGGTCACCGACTCGCACTGAAGTGCGCACGCGTTTGCGCGGTTTGTGAGACGCGTTGGACAGACCTCAACGGTCAACGCTGCTCGCGAGCCTGCGCGCGTAAGCGCGGCCGCAGCGATGCGGCAGCTGTCGCCATGCAGTCACCGCAGTCGCCGTCGCATGGGTTGTGCAAACCAAGTTGCGGGTTGGTGGGTGAGGAGATTGCGCGAGCAATGGGGGATTGCACCACGTAGGTTGCACCACACATACTGCTGCTGCCCAACTACAACTGCACACCATGTTGCACAACATCGAGCGCACCACATGTCTTGCACCACGTCGATTGCCCCACATAGATTGCATCACGTTGGCTACACCAGGCATCGCACCTAGTACACCACGTGGTACCACGCCGATTACACCACATAGATTGCAAACCGCACGGGTTGCACCACGTACGTTGCCGTTCACATATTGTGCAAGTCGATTGCGCCACATAGATTGCATAGTCGATATGTTTATCTAGCCGTTCCACAAATACTGCGCAACATACGCTGCGCAATATACACTGCGCAACCTTGGCTGCATACTACAGATTGCACCACGTAGGTTGCCCAACATAGATTGAACAACGCAATTTGCTAGGCACACGCCGTTTGGGGCCCACGCTATTTAACATGTGCTTGTGCGTGGAGGGATTCTGGCGTTTGTTCATTCTCGGTTTCCCGACGGCCCGAAACGGCCCCAGAGGCCACCAATATTGCCCAATAGCGCCCACGAGGCCTCGGAGATGGCCCCCTGATGGCCCAACAGGCCCCGAAGACGGTTCCCAGAGGGTCCCAAGCCAGCCCAAGAGACCCCCAAGACGTCAAATATTGTTTCCAAGACGGCCCTGGAGCGCTTCAAGAGGGCTCCAAGGCGGCCCAAGGATTGGTCCCGACGGCGTCGGACGGGCCGGGAACGCTTGCAGACGGCCACAGGGCCTCCCAAGAAACTCCCAAAGGCTCTCCAAAAGCTCCAGGAAGTTCCCAGGATGCCTCCAAGAGGTCTCAAAGAAGCTCCCAGGAGGCACCCCAAGAGGCTCACAAAAGACCTCATCCCCCTCCTTTGTCCTCCCTCTTCTTCTCGTTTTCTTTCTCCGCACGTGTCTACCGAAGGGTTTCCACAACGGTTGTGGGAACACACAGTCCGATAGTCTGGCCGAGATCTGGGCTTTGGCTTCAACATTCAGCCACAACAGCATTTCTGAAAAACAGGGGGCGGCGGTGATTCGCCGTAGGCGTCTTCGTAGCAGGAATCACGTGTCATAGATTACAGGACGTGCGCACGCACGTCCCATGACACGAATATCTAAATTTCAGTTTCGCGGTGACGGCATCATCACCAAAGCGGTGTTTCTGACCCCCAGCTTCAGCAATCTAAGAGTTGCAGCGTTCTCATCATGAGTAGTTGCGTTGTGTCGGGCCATTTCCATCATTGCGGGCACGGCCAAGATGTGTATCCCAGCAGTGTTGTGTGTATTGTTCATATCTGCTCTTGCCCCCTTCGCTGCGTTGCGTTCCAGGTGAAGGCCCACGACGGCGAGCTACTGTCGTTGTACGACACGTTCAAGAAGGTGTTGAGGGTCACCACGGGCGAAGTACGGTATTCGTCCCGAGACGAAGGATGCGGTTCGTTCCAAAGCGGCCGCAGAATTCGGTTGGCGCCATTGTTTTGTTTTGGCATGCAGGTGCGTTCTCTTTGTCCGTCATATGGTGGTGTCTTTCTTGGCCCGCTATCTTCTTTCGTTGCGCGCTCTGGGTTTCAAGCGCCGCTCGGACGTACTTCGAGGAAGTTTCGGACTTACTGCGGACGTGGCAGGGAGGATGGATCGGGGCTCTTTCGAGATGGTGAGGGGTCAAACCAGGTACGCGCTCCACCATCCCCTCCTCCCGTGCACCCTCCGTGGTTGTACTTTCCCTTGTCCCCTCTGTCAGGGCACTGGGGTAGATACTCTTTCGGACTCCCTGGGCGTGGCGCGATTCGGTGCTCTATTCTGGTGGCGTGGCGCACAGCTTCGATTGCGATCCAGACGGAGGCTTGCCTCCCTTGCCCTGCGGTCCTGACTGATTCAGGCGCTGGTTGGTTGAATTCTGCCTCGGCAGGCTATTCCAATAGCTCGGCGATGGGCCCAACCTTGTGCATGGCTTGGTCGTCTCGGCAGATGTTGCCGCCGCAGGGCTGCGTCGGATGGATCACGATCCGATTCGGGGGTGTACCGAAATGGGCGGCTTGCCGCGTGTGATCGCCCTCACCTACGGGGTCACGATCCGTGCGAGAGGTGTGCAGGAATGGGCGGGGTGCCGCATAGGGGCGCCCTCACTGGAGGCCACACGTGCAGCTCCCTGCGGGGCCTCTGTGCGCGTTAGGGGTGTGCAGTGGTGTGCAGACACGAGTGGGGTGCCGCATGTGAGCGCCCTCGCTGGGGCCGTAGGTGGAGTCCCTTATGGGGTCGCGATGCCCCCTTGATGGGAGTGCCGACGTGGGCGTGGTGCCGCATGTCAACGCCCTGATAGAATCCGTGAGGCTTCCTATGGGGTCACGGTCCGCCGAAGGGGAGTGCCGACTTGGGCGGGGTTAGCGCATATTGTTACGGGTTGGCGTTTGCACGTTGTTGGCGATGACCATGATGATGACGACGATGTTGTTGATGATTGTGATGATGATGATGATGATGGTGGTTGTGGTTGTGATCATAATGATGATGTTGATGATGATGGTGATGATGATGATGGTGGTGATGGTGATGATGGTGATGATGATGATGATGATGGATGATGATGATGAGTATGATGATGTTAATGCTGGTGATGATGCTGGTGATGGTAATGATGATGATGATGATGATGATGATGATGATGATGATGATGATGCCACTAATGGTAATGCTGGTTGTTGTGTTGGGGGTGACGACTTTGGTCAGGATGATGGTGTTGCTGATGTTGATTATGTTGATGGTGATGCTGATGGTGGTGTTGTTTTGAGCATGACGACGATGATGACATTGATGGCGCTGGTAATGATGACGATGATGATGATGATGATCATGATGATGATGATGATGATGATGATGGCGGTCATGCTGATGCTGATGGCGACTCTGCTGAAGTTGACGAGTTGGATGATGGCACGCTGATTGTGATGACGATGATGGCGGTGGATATGTTGATGTTGATGATGAGGCCTGTGATGCTGAGAATGGTGATGCTGGTAGTGGTACGGTCAAGGTCATGATGATGATGGCACTGACGTTGATGATGACGATGTTGATGATGATGATGAGGCAGAAGGAGGAGGATACTTGCTTGAGGGGCGTGCCGCATTTAGCATGCGGTCAGCGGATGGTGAGGAAGGAGGAGGTGTAGGAGTGGAGGTGAGCTGGGCCTTGGCGCAGCTGAGCCAAAACGAGGAGCCAACTCCACAGGTGGATCGGGGAAGCCTACCTGCAAAATACGTGTTTCATACATAGAGCTTGCTCCAGCGGCCGTCGGCTCAGCGTACAGTCAACCCGCCCGCATAGCAAGGATGAGCGACTTTCAAGGCTACCCTTGCATCCTTGTCCTTGCGGCCCATCCTTGGTATCTTTCGCTGGCCAACCTCGTTCGAAAAACGTCAACATGGCTCCCAGGCCCTTCCAACCGTATTCTACGGGTTGACTGTAGGACACCTGGCCCACGCGCAACTTCTTGCGATGCCTCTCATAGACTCTTCCGCCAGGTGGCCTCCATGGGCTCTTCCGCTCATGGACTTGCCGCAGGGGCCAGTCATGTGTTGATGCAGTCGAGGTCTTGCGAAGGAAAATGGTGGAACATCTCGTCTGGCAGCAAGTCATCGATACGATGTTCATTGTCTTCGTGGACGTTATCTTATATCTTGTCCCCAGACGTAGCGTATCAATGACAGTCGGGGCCTTCTTCGCATGACGTTTTGGTGTTTGGTCTTCTTTTATTCTGGTTCTGCACAAAGGATATGCAATCCCCCCTTGCCACGCAAAAGTTGTCACTGATTAACGAAAAACGGTATCAGGATGTTCCTGGTCATCGTGCCCGCCGAGGCTTTGTGTGATCTCGCAACACGTGGGACTGGTTTCCGCCATGGGTTGCCGCGCCTTTTTGCTGTTCGGTGTCGCTTGGCATGGTGCGGGCGCCACTTCGGAGGTCTGTGAAACCAGCCCGTGCAGTGGGCGATGCAAAGCGATTTTTGCTCCGTCTGCTTAAGTGAGACAGACGTTGGCCGAGCTTGTCATCAGGTTGACCGTCGCTGTCTCCGCCCACTCCTCCCTCCGTGGCCCACTGTCCGGAACTTTGGTTTTGAGTGTCGCGCCGCTGGTTCTGGCCCGCCGCGTTTGGGCGCGACACAATATCCATGTCCCCTTCCCCATGCATCCACGTCCCGAGACTTTCCCAGCATCGCTCCCCGCGGAGCGGAGCGGCGCGTTATCCGCTCGCAGGGCATGGCGCGTCGCTGGGCTCGCCGCCTTGACACGCGGAGCAAGCGTCCCCGACGCAATGCATCCCAGCGTCCGGGAGTCGCAGCTCGGTTGGGCGGTTCTGCTTCCGAACAGGGGCGCCTTTCCTCGTTGACTTTCGGGAGGGCCGTCACCTGGTGTAGCGGCACCGTCCCCGAAAGTAGTGTGTGCACCGCATTTTTTGTACATGTGCTATACACGTACAGCACATTCATACACATACATGTACACATGTACGTGGCATGATGCTGAACATATTCAGGCCTGGCCGCTTCGATCCCCAAGAACGCCCCATGCGGGTGCTTCCATGGCGCGCCTGATAAGGCGTTCAGCGGCGCATGCGATCATCACAACTGCGCCCTTCAACCCTCAGTCGGCCAAACACGGGCGTACGGCTGACAAATCAGACGAGCTCAGCCACTTCCATGTGATCAGCTTGATTCGACTTCGGCAAAAGTTGCGTGCTGAGCGGAGCTGGGTTTCAGGTGACTGCTGTGGTTGCAAATAGGTGTGGGCATTCAGTGTACACGTGAATCGAAGTTGCGGGTTGTCAGTTTCGTACCGCAAAGGTGCAGATCCCATTATCGTGGATCTCTGCCAGTGCTTCGGGGATTACGGGGACGTGTGGCAGCTGTGAGGCTTGAGAGCGGACGATGTCGTATTCTGCACCGTTTCATGTATCCTCCGCCAGCCTCTTTGGGATATGGCAAAATCGAAGACTTGGACCAGCTTTGTTACGGTGAGGGTGACGTTTCAGACGGCGATGGCATTCGCTGGACACCGCTCGTATGTATGAATTTGAACGCATGTTTTTTCGAAGCCCGCGAGGTTGTCGGTGAGTTCGGACTGCATGCTGTCCAAAGACACTGTGCTACGTTTGTCGTGCAAGTCCTGGAGGCTCACGACCGACATGATTGTGGTGAGTTCGAACTTGGATATTGTGGCAACGTTCGGCGGACATTCAAACATTGGAACAACTTGTTGGTCATGTGTGTTTTACATCGTTTCTGGCACCATGTGGCCAAGTGCTGTAACACGTTAAGGATGTCCTTCAGTCTCTTGCAGGTACACCATGCGGGAACGATGTGGGGCCATATCCAGATTGGGTTCGGGCTTGCTGCAATCGTGTTCGAACCGCGCCCTGTGATGACACAGCATGTACGACTGGATGTTGCAGCCATGCGTGTTTTTTTTTTTCAGACAGGAAACAGTGCCATGCAACTTGTCCAATTATTGGAACACCGATTGGAAGTTGATGCGAAACAGCTGAGTGAGCACAAGTTGGATGGTAGACAGTTGACAGAGACGGCAAACGACATAATTTTGCAAAGGTTGAGGTGCGCACCAGACTATTCGCGCACATCAAGCCAGCGCTACACGGATGACCACCTCCGACAAGCACAGACAGCACCGGGTCTGCTGAACGAACGACGTGGCGTTAGTCCTGGATAGCGAACATAGGTCGAAGCCCACGACAACGAATCTGACATACAAAGTTCTGCTACGACATCGGAATTGGTCTCCAAACTATTCGTTTTGGCTAATCAAGGTGAGGCGAACTGTTAGTTGATCGCGGATACCGACATTCATCATGTGCATGATATGCATTAAGGGCACATGGTGTTGGATACTTCGATGCGTGATTTGATTGGCAAAGCTGTGCAGGCCATGCGCAAACATATATTGGAGCTGCGATTGTTGCGAGCTGGTCTTGCACACAGTGCCGGTAGAGCTTTCGAGGGTTGCGATGGCAAATAATTGGATAAGCAGGAGGACCCCTCAACCAGCAGTGGGCATTGGCGCGCAGATCGAGAGGCCCAAGCTGGAGACTACGAGATCCAGGCGCTTCTGACACTGTCTGGTGCTGGGACTCAGGGGGGCCCGAGGACCGCTTGCAAAGCTGGCGATCAGCGAGGCAGTGAGACTCGCGAAAGCGAATGGGCATTTCGGCGTCGGCGGGGGGCGGATCATCTTCCTGGTGCGCACGATGGCCAGGAGTCGAAGTACTTTTCGCCTGTGTAAAGAGGGCTACACCGGGCCATCGACGCGAGGCAGCCATCGTCGCCCAGCTGTGCAGATCGTGGATTGTGTTGCCCGGGGCCCGGCAGTTCCATTCGGCGAGGACGCGTGGCGCCATGAGTTCTTGCAGTGCGATCACCCAGGCGCGTCTCAAGCATGCAGCGCAGGATTTACTTTCCCCTCTCGATTTGCAGCTCCCGCAGTTCAGAATCCGTTGGGGCAAGTTTTTCCTCTTGTTCCAGGGTGACCTGCCAGGAGACCCTCTCGTGGCGCGCGCGTTCTGTCGCGCGAACGCTGACATGCGTCGCGATGTGCTTCAGCTTGCGCGCGATGCGAGGGCGCGCAATGTCGCGCGTCCGTGGTCGCGGCGATGTTCGCGGGCCACGTTCAGAATTTTCGCGGAGAGCGTTATACATAATTTCATTGTTGAACGCGACGTCTCCTCCATCACTGCGCAGGGCCCCCGCCGGAACCTTGCCCTAGGTTCGGTGCAGAGCCGCGGGGGGCAGGTGATTTTTTTTCCGCCGGGGCCCAGGGCCTCGCGGGGCAGCGGCGGTCGTTCTGGCGCCGCCCAGACTTCGGGGAACAGTCGCGACAAAAGCTCGGCACTTGGGCCCCCGTTGGTGCTCGCGCTTGACGTTGCGCGAGACGCAGCGCCGACTGCGCGCCAGTCGAACGGCGCGTTTTTTTTCGCGGGGTGGGCGTGGTCGGGTAAAACTTGCGCGTCTGGCGGTGGCGGAGAGTCTTGCTCGGGGCTCTGCGCCAGCACGCGCAGCTGACTGGACCCCCGTCGGTTCAACGCCAGCAGGGCGCGCTCGCGCGGCGCACCGCGGGGCGGCCGCGTCTGCGTAATGCAGATGGGAAGCGCCGTGCAATGTGCAAGCCATACGGGCCATTGATCTATTCCTTGCTCGAATTGAACTTCGCGCGCGCAGACTCGAGCGATTGCAGCGGAGCTGTAAGGGCCCCTGTCGGTCGGCCCACAGTCGTTGGAGCAGATTTTCGGGCGGTCGTGGGTGACGCGCCCGAGCCTTATAGAACCTCGAGGGGCTTGCCGGTGAATCTCTGGGCCAGGCTTCTTCCGGGGGGCACTCAGGCGTCGCAGTTCCTTCTGGCGACGGCGCTGCAATCCTCGAGCGCGTCGAGACCCCTGCCGACGCGATTGCGCGCGAGCACGAGCTCGGCGACTTTCTGAGCTTGCTCGCGCAGGGCATGCCATTCCATTTCCAGACAGACATCAGCGAGCGCGCCCTGCAGGCGGCCAGGCGAGACAGATCGAGCGAGCGGGGGCCGCATTGGTGCGCGGCGCGAGGGCCAGCCGGCGGCGAGCGTCGAGCTCGTCCACCCGAGCGTCAGACGCCTGCGGCGCGCACTGGCCAGCGCATAGGGCGCGCGCATTGATGGGGCCCGCGGGGCGATCGCAGCGGGTTGTGAACCAGTTGCAAGTTGCCAGGTGGCGTTGCCGACGAACTCTTAAAACGATGCCCCATGTTACGAATTGCTTGGGGAACAAGTGTTGGCGGGCCAGGCGGAGGCGGAGCGACGGGGCCATCGGCGGCGCGCGCGTCGCTGTCCAACGTGCCCGCTCGAAGCAGATGGCGTCGAGACTCTGCGTGGCCATAGCGCTGCAGCGCGTTCACCCTGCCCCCGCGCGTCGCGGTTCCCGCCGTCGCCCGGGGGGCGCAACGGGGGGGGGCGGGGCGCATTGTTCCAGCCGCGCTCGAGCGGCGAAGATTAATGCGTCATGCGGCACGGGCGCCGCGCAGACTTTGTTTTCCAAGCAGTTGGAAGCGCGTGTGCGGACGCTCGAGCACGCGTCGCAGATATCATCATTGGGCGAGAAGTCAGAGAGGGCGATCCAGACGTGCGTCTACACGTGCAACGAGTGCCTGAATGCCGTCAAAGCGGGGGGCAGAAACATTTTTGATGGGTTTCGGGCGTTTTTTAAAGTTGGCGCGGCGAGGGGGCATTGCAGCAGTAGTCGGTGCTCAGCCTGCGCCTCGCCCCCATCATGTTGCTCATGGTGTTGCTCAGCAGCGACGTGGATGCCGCGGGAACATGGGTCCAATATTGCACGAGCAGCCTGGCGCGCGACAACAGCCTGCCGCGGGACGTTCAACGCGAAAGCAGCGGCAACGGCGCCCAGGGGCCCAGAGCAGGCGCAGGCGATGTTGAAATCTGGAACGCGGTCGCCAAAAAGGAGACGGACGCAACGGCGGCAGAGACGTTGGCAGGCATTCCGCGCGCACGATTGGAGCGATGAGTGCTACTTGCAGGCTGGACGCAGAAGGAAGTCCACGGCGCGTTGATTTCCGTGTTTCGAGCTCCCGCGGGGGCCCCGTCACGGAGATGGGCGGTGGCAAGCAGAAGCCGTCTTAGACGGCGATTTAGACGAGAGAAAGAAAGAGAGGGAGAAAGAGATAGAGAGAGAGAGTAGGGCCTGGATGAGTTGTTCGAGTGAGACCTCGGCTGAGGGTGCTAAGATTCAGCAGAGTGCGCGACCAGTGATTGTCGCTGTGGGTTGGTTTGTTCTAAGTTCTGGAGCAGCCTCAAGGGGCACATGCGCAGCTGTCTTGGATGTCATCATGTATTACCTGATTGGGCCTCAAGGACTACCTGTGCAGTTGCCTTGGACACCAGTGTGCGACGAACTACTGCTTTGGGGTCCTGGGCGTGTGCGCGACAAACTTTGGGGTGATGAGCGCGGGGAAGTGCGGGCAGGCTCTGGCCCGAATGCCCCCAACGTTGTGCGAAATAGTCCTTGCATCAAGCCGCCCCACATGCTCGAACGGCTCAAAGAGCTGCCTGGCCTGCCCTGTGTGGGCAAGTGAGGGCGCGGCCCCAGCATGCGTTCCGTTACTTCTGCGCGCGGTTCGAAGTTGCATGGTCTCTCGGGGGCGGCAAAGAGGGGGGTGATGACAAGGGGGGGGTGGATATCATGGCGTGGGCCATGATATTTCCTCGGATCTCATAGCGCCTCTTCTTATTTCATTACGTCCCTGGCCCCCCCGCTGGACCGCGCACGCGCCGCCGGTCATGATTTGCACCCCCCCCTCTTGGACACCCTCCTCTTGGCCGCTCCCGAGTTTCATTCCTCCGAGGTCAGCCCTTGCGGACGCCGTTGGGGGCCATTGGTGAGCTTCTAGATGGGTGCGACTGGGTGGCTTCTGGCTGCCCCAGGAGCGTGGGCGCCGTAATGCTTTTGCCGCGCCTGCCTGTGTGCACCGCGTATCCATGATCCATGGATTCATTCGCTGATTTTCGGGGAGTGGGCCGGCACCCGCGAACCCGATGCCAGAGCAAAACGCCACGGACGAGGGGGGAGGGCCTTGAGATCCGACGCTGCGCAGAAATTGCCACTTCGCGATACATCGCGACCGGAGCCATGGGCCCCATTTTTCGCGGTCTGTGTCGAGCTGGGTCAATTTGCGATCGTTTGGGGGTCCGAAGTTGGGCGAAATCGCCTGGGTTGCGAGCGTTTCACGCCCCTGATGTCAGGACCAGGAGCGGCGCAGAGTGAAACGAATGATGGAGGAAGTTTGCTCGCGGGTGGCCGCCCGCCCCCCCCCAAGGATTGGTGGACGCCGCCGACGGGGCTGTCAGCCCGGAGGACGCCGCCGACTGGGACATCGGCGGCGCCGTGGAGCGGGACGGTTTGCGCTCCATCCTGTTGGAGTACGGGCTGATGTTCAAGTCGGTTGGGCCTCGGGGGGGGGGAGAGAAAGCACGAATGAGAGAAAGAGAAAAAGAGAGAAAGAGAGCGAGAGAGAGATACAAAAGACGAGAGAGTGTGAATAAACATGGGGGGGAAGAGACAGACAGACAGACAGAAAGAGAGAGAGAGAGAGCGAGACCATAAAGATGAGTGGCGAGAGAGGAGAGAGAAAGGCCGTCTGGCAGCGCGAGTCCGCGTGCGGCCGCCGGGGCTACAACAAGCACGGCAGGCCCTTTTGGCCTGGGCAGGGTGTACTGATGTAAACAAGGAGAGAAAGGGAGAGAGAGGGAGAGAGATAGAGAGGGAGAGAGAGAGAGAGAGAAACAAACATAGGTGATAGAGAGAGTGGGGGAGAAAGAGAGAGACATATATATATATATATATATATAGAGAGAGAGAGAGAGAGAGAGAGAGAGAGAGAGAGACGAGCGATACAGCCGACGTCACGAGACGGGCATGTCCCCGCCGCAGGCGCCCCACGGAGAGCTCTGCAGCGCCACGTGTGGGGCACCTGCTTTTGGCCCGGGGCCCGAGGGTGCGCTCCCGGCTGCCTGCCTCACTTCCAGGAGGGAAAGAAACACGCAGACACAATGGATCGTCGATTTCCCAGGAGATATGGGAAAATATGGGAAGTGGTGGGGGAGACAGACGGCCAGAAAATAGATAGGAACAGATGGGGGATCTTTTCGCCTGTGTGTACTTCTTTGTGTGTCCCAGGGCCCCTGCATCACTGCCCGGGAGTCCTGCGCCATCCCGCCGATCCCGGGCACGGGGGTCCCCCCGACCGCCGGGCGCCGCAGCTCTCTCTCTCACACGGGGCGCTATCGCCCCGGCGTCGGCCCCCCGGGGGCCCCCTGCACGGCTCGATCCGGCCCGGGAAGAGAGGCTCCAGCACGAGGGTGCCTGTTTTTCTTCTCGGGGGCGGCAAAGAGGGGGGTGATGACAAGGGGGGGGGTGGATATCATGGCGTGGGCCATGATATTTCCCCAGATCTCATGGCGCCTCTTCTTGTTTCATTACGTCCCTGGCCCCCCCGCTGGGCCGCGCACATGCCGCGGGTCATGATTTGCACCCCCCCCTCTTCGACACCCCCCTCTTTGCCGCTCCCGATCTTTGGATTCGGGCAAGTTTACTTGCATGGACGGGGGGGGGGGGCTGAGTCTGAGGCAAGCCGAAAACAATTCGACGTGCGGAAATCACGCAAGTCGAAAGGCACTTGCACGCTCGTGTTCGATTGAAGAGGGGCGAGGGGGGGGGGGGGGGGGGGGGGCGAAAGCCATGCAAGTAAGCTTGCCTGGATATAAAGAAAAACAGGCTCGTGCTTGTGTTGCGACGGCGGATCTCATGGATGTGCGGCCTCCAGACTCGTGTGCGTTGTTTGCCGTTTCCCGCCGTGTGTTGCTTGCGTGCAGGTGGGTGTTGCTGATTTGCTCCGGGAAGTTTATGTTCTTGCAGGTTGTCGCGGTGGCCTTGCGCCGAGCGCCGTCGTCCAGCCTCCAGCGCCAGGAGGCGCCGGGAAAGCCAGCTGCGTGAGCTGATTCGCACCGCCCCCAGGGGAGGGGGCAACGGAAGGGGACGTCGATCGGGCGTGCCAGGCACGCTCGTCGGCAGTCTCGCTAGCGAACTGCGCCGGCGGCGTGGTCGCTACCCTCAGCTGCGCGAGCTAGAGTGACCTCTGCTGCAGACCCACAGGCCACCCGCCTCCCAGCGCTGCCCTGCGCGCTGAGATGTGGTCCTCTTGCGGCCCCGTGGAAGCCGCGCACCAAAAGTCACCCTTGCCTCAGGGGAGGTGCAACAATAGGGGGGATATGATCAAGGAATGACGCATCGACCCCCATCGCCCATTTATTGCCGATAGGGGCCCGATGGCCCACCCCGCCCAGGAACGTGTGGATTTGCTATCGGGGGCGCATCGCCGATCTATCGGCGACGTATCGCCGATTCCAGCTCGGTGTTCCTCCTGGGCGTCGGCGCGAATCACCAGCGCCCCCGACGTGTGTTTCCCCTTGGCGGGCGCCCCCTCCCCCACCCCGCGATTCGCCGTTGCAGGGGAACATTTGTCAAATCACGCGCCCCGCTTGTTTTTATTGATCGCAGGCTGACATCATCGCTGCCCCTCGCTGCCTAGCGTTGCCCCTGCGAGTAGACGAGGCCCCCGCACCAGAGGTGTCTTCAGAGGTGTCTCTGGAGGTGTTTCGGTGGTCCCCAAACGGGGTGGTGACCGCACCGTGCGGTGAGTCGGTGGGGATTCGGGGTCACCACACGGTTTTGGGACTCGGGTCGTTCTCCGAGGACGTCTCGGGCGACAGGGGCCTCCAGGGTCCCAAAACCGTGCGTTGACGGACCGTGCGGTGAGGTCACTTGGGGTTCCGAGGTCACCGCACGGTCTGTCACCGCACCATTTCGGGACTCCAGAGTGTTCCAGAGTGGTCTCCCGGAGGTGTCTCCAGAGGTGTCTCCTCTGCGAGGTCGATGAGCGCCCGGAGGCGTCTCCAGAGGCGTTCCCCCGCAGGCCAGCGGGCGCGAGCGGGGCCGCCGCGCGGGTGCAAACGGCTCCTCGCCAGGGCGGAGAGGCGTGTCGCGCGGGTGCAAGCGGTTTCGCCTGCTTTCGTTGCATTACCCTCAATGTGCGCCCGTGCTGAAACTCAACACGCACCGTGTTGAAAGCGTCCAAGGTCCAAGGTCGTGAGACACGCCGCGAGTTGGCCCGACGCGTGTTGGCCCACGTCTTGGCGACCGTATCGCGCCCGACCCACGCGCTCATGAGAGCTACGTTGGGGAGCGTTCCAGAGGGGACCTCGCCGTCGATAGACCGAGATCATCTTCGTCGGAACCATCCACGCCATCCCGACTGGGGCAAGTTGGCTCTTCCAGCGTACCCCTTTCTAGGTGGGGACGGGTGCTCCGAAACCCGATGGAGACGGCACCCCCATCCCCACCCCTGGGGGGGGGGGGCAGGCTGCCCAGCGGGGCCACGGTGACCCCGGTGGGTGGTGGGCACCCGTGCCCACCGAACAGACGAGAGGCCGACATCTCCCGGGTCGCCCGAGGAGGAGGAGGAGGAGGAGGAGGAGGAGGAGGAGGAGGCGGAGGAGGAGGAGGAGGCGGAGGAGGAGGAGGAGGAGGAGAGGGAGGAGGAGGAGGAGGAGGAGGAGGGAGGAGGAGGAGGAGGAGGAGGAGGTCTTCGCTCTCCGCGCGCCGTGGTCCGGGCCAGACGGGCTGCCCCTCCCCCGGCGGGCGGCGCAGGGGCACGGAGGGAATCGAACGCGCGGCGCCTCGAAAGGGGCTCGGGTCGGGCGAAAGGGGGGATTGGGAAAGGGGGGGTTACGAAATTTGCTGCATGCAGCTGATTTTGGCCTCACCGAGGAGCCCATTCCTCGATACATAGCCGCCTCCGGCGCCGGGAGGCGCCGGGAAAATCAGCTACGTGAGCTGATTCTCAACCCCCCCCTTTGCTATCCCCCCCTTTCGCCCGACCCGAGGGGCGCGCCGCGCGCGGAGGGGGGGTGGCCTGGGACCCCCTCCTCGGCGGGAGGCTGGAGGCGACAAGACCCATCGGCGGCGAGCGAGGGGGGGAAGTGAGACGGAGAAGACCTTCGCAGAAGGCGGCGGCACTTCTGAGAAGCCCTCGCGCCCTGTGAGAGGTTTGCAGCGTCTGCGAGGAAGGCTTAGAAGACTTCTCGGAAGGCCAGGGGACCGCCGAGCCTTCTGAGAAGGCCCGCCCCTTCTCACTTCCCCGCCGGCTCGCCGCAGAACAAAGGCCATTTCGCTAGCGGAAGCCCGGCGGACGCACTACCTGCACTCCAAGAGATGCACACTTTTGGTGATTCGGGGTTTCGGGATTCGCCCATGCTGCGGCGCGCACAGGGGGGTGGCGTGAGGGGGGTGGGCGTCTAGGAAGGCTGGGGGCTTCTGAGAAGGCATGGGCCTTCCTGGACGGTTGACCGGTCTCTGATAATCCGTATTGGATGCTCTTCCAGCCTTCTACGAAGGATCCTGTCGTCTAAGAAGCCCCCCGCATTCTTAAATCCCCCCCTTTCTCGCACCACCCCCTTGCGCATGCCGCTAAAGAGCAGCACATACACTTAACGGACGGAGAGTTGCATAAAGGTATGCGTTTCCGCAACGGGGAGGCCTGTCCAGGGTGGTTGGACATTTACGTATACCCCAACGTCTCCCATGAGGGGAATCATTTTACCAGCCGCCCTGGGACAGGCGTCCCCGATTGCGAGTATCTATGTACATCGTTATCCGCTCGCTATCGCATAGGATCATGTTTGGCAATATCGTGCATCTCTCGTGAGCGATAGCTAGGAGAGTAACTGACAGCTTCGGATTTTTTTCGGACGAGGACTGAAGTGCGCGAAAATAATGTCCCCGCAGAGCGGGATTCACGAGGGCTCCCCAGGGTGAACGTCGCATGCAAATGTTGAAGTCAGTGGGTGTTCGGGTGTGTGGGCTTCTACGACAGTCGGTTCCGATCGTTAGAAGATACCTTTGGTCGTCTTGGCACTCCTCGGGGAGTCACGCGCCCGCTTGTTTCCAGCTGGTGGCATCTGGGGGTGCATGAGGCACGGATTGCGGTGCCGCCCTCGAGCGATCTGAGGAGACAGTTGGTCGCCGCTGGAAAAGCATCGGGCACGAGGTACGCGAGTGTGTGCCGAGTTGAGGCTCTCATGTCTTTGGAATGGCATCGGAGGGTTTCATGGGATCCGTTTGAGGCCTCCTGGAGGCCCCAGGGCCTTCTAAAACTGCGTAACGGCCTGTTTGGGGCATGGCGGGTTTTTTGGAGGCCATCTTGCGGGAGGAAGGCTTAACAGACCCTTTTGAGTTCTCTCTCTCTCTCTCTCTTGGGTAGGCCGAAGAGGGGGTGCCGAGACGGGCCAAGCGAGAGCCAATACGGCCCAAGAGAGCCCCCAAAGAGCCGCAAGGCGCGCCAAGACGGTTGCCAAGCGCAAGAAGTGTTGAGAACATTCGGTTGC